GCCATCCTCACTGTCAGCGCCACGGATCGTGACTCCGGCAGCAACGGGGAGTTCACCTTCCACCTGGCCACGCCAAGCGCCGGCGTCTCCATCGACCCCAGCAACGGTGCGTGCGGGCTGGGGCTCAAGGCTAGGGCTGGGGCCAGGGCAACTCCGTCCCACCGGGACCTTGCGGGGCCGTTCCCCGGGTGCCCACTCCCTGGGGCAGAGCTGGGCCCGTGGCCTGGAGCTGCCAGGAGTCCTGCCAGCCCCAGTCCCCCACATCTTCCCCTTCCTACCTGGGGTCCCGGCCCCGCTGTCGCTCCCCGCAGCACGTGCTGACACGGCTGCACCCCACAGGGACGCTGTTCACCACGCGGCAGGCGGCCTTCGATCCAAGCCGGCCCACGCTGGACCTGGTGGTGGAGGCCCGTGACAGGGGCTCACCCGGGCTCTCGGCTTGGGCCACGGTGCAGATCCGGGTGGTGGACATGAACGACCACAGCCCGGCCTTCCAGCAGCCGCATTACAATGCCTGCGTGCCCGAGGACCTGCGCCCCGGCACCACCGTCCTGATGCTGGAGGCGGGCGACGCCGACCTGTCCCGCGAGAACGCCGGCTTCGACTACACCATCGTCAGCGGCAATGGCGGCAACGCCTTCCAGGTGGAGAGCCGGGTGAGCTGGGTGGGCGGACAACTGCGCACCCAGGGCGCCCTGGTGCTGGTGGAGCCGCTGGACTTCGAGGCCACGCCGCTCTACAACCTGACCGTTGCGGCCTCCGACAGGGGCCTGCCGCAGCGCAGCATTGCCGTGCCCGTGCTCGTCACCGTGCTGGACGTCAACGACAACCCTCCCGTGTTCGCCCGCGCTGAGTACCGCGCGGCTGTGAGCGAGAGTGCCCCCCCCGGCACCGAGCTGCTGCGGGTCGTGGCCCAGGACGCCGACTCCGGCCCCCACGGCCGCGTGCGCTACAGCATCAGCTCCGGCGACCAGCGCGGCCTTTTCCAGCTGCACGAGAGCACGGGCGCCCTGCGCCTGGTGCAGCCCCTGGACTGCGAGACCCAGGCCCTGCATGCCCTGGTGGTGCAGGCGTCCGATGGCCCCGGGGGCCACTTCGCCCTGGTGCCCGTCGCCATCGAGGTGAAGGACGTCAACGACAACAGGCCCTACTTCCCGGTGGAGACGGTGAGTGCCGGCCTGCGGGAGAACCTTCCTCCCGGCACGCTGGTCACCACGCTGCGTGCCGTGGATGCCGACGCCGGCGCCTTTGGGGAGCTGCACTACACGGTGCTGGACCAGCCCGTGGGGGCACCGGGCGCGGCCGAAGCCCACGACTCCTTCACCATCAACAGCAGCTCCGGGGAGCTGCGTTCACGCCTCACCTTTGACTACGAGCGCGCCAAGGCCTTCCAGCTGCTGGTGCGGGCTGTGGACGCCGGCAACGCCTCGGCCACCGTCACCGTGCGGGTGCTGGTGACAGGCGAGGACGAGTACGACCCCGTCTTCCAGGACCCGCCCTTCCACTTCGAGGTGCCCGAGGGTGCCCGCAAGGGCCAGAGCATCGGCCGGGTGGAGGCCACGGACGAGGACGAGGGGGCGGACGGAGTGGTGCTCTATGCCCTGGCCAAGCCCTCGCCCTACTTCGGCGTCAACCAGACCACGGGCACCGTGTACCTGCGGGTGGACAGCCAACCGCAGCCGGCCGGCCGAGCCAAGCGGGAGCCCCGGGAGATGAGCCTGGAGGTGCAGGCCCGCAGCCCGCTGCCCGGCTCCCGCTCGGCCTCCACCCAGGTCACCGTGGACATCACGCACACCACCTTCGGCCTGGCCCCCGAGCTCAACCTGCTGCTGGTGGTGGCCGTGGCGGCCTCGCTGGGCGTGGTGGTGGTGCTGGCCACCATGGCCATCGTCCTGGCGCTGATCCGCTCCCGGCAGCGCCGCGGCCGCAAGAAGCCGGAGCCGGACGCGCAGCTGAGCCGCGTGCAGAGCGGCTCCCTGCAGAAGCTGGGCCACGAGGAGCCGGCACTGCCCGGTGGGGACCACATCTACCACCAGACCCTGCCGGGCTACGGGACCGAGCCGGCCGGGCCCTACACGCGGGGCGGCTCCCTGGACCCCTCGCACTCCAGCGGCCGTGGCTCGGCCGAAGCAGCCGAGGACGACGAGATCCGCATGATCAACGAGTACCCACGCGTGGCCAGCATCACCTCCTCCCTGCAGGAGCACCTGGCCGCCCGCGGCCCCGACTCCGGCATCCAGCAGGATGCCGACCAGCTCTCCGACATCTCCTGCGAGCCCGGCGCCCTGGAGGGCGCCCAGTGGTTCAAGAGCAAGAAGGGCTCCGGCTTGCTGCTGCCCGGGCAGCCCCCGCAGCTGTACCGCGAGGACGGGGGCGGCAGTGCCTTCCTGGGCGTGGGCTGCGGCCTCAGCGTCTCCGGCCACCCCAAGGACTACGCCTTCCCCGAGGACGGCAAGCCCTCCGTGGAGGGCTCGCTCACCGCCATCGTGGCCAGCGACGAGGAGCTCCGCGGCAGCTACAACTGGGATTACCTGCTCAACTGGTGCCCCCAGTTCCAGCCGCTGGCCAGCGTCTTCACCGAGATCGCCCGGCTCAAGGACGAGAGCTCGCTGCGCAAGCCCTTCCCGGCCAAGCCCAAGGCGGAGCCGAAGCCCCGCATCGACCCCCCGCCCCTCATCACCGCCGTGGCCCACCCGGGCGCCAAGTCGGTGCCGCCCAAGCCGGCCGCGGGCAGGACCTTCCCGCACCTGTCGTCCCTGCGCCGCTCGCCCATTAGTCACGAGGGCTCCATCTCCTCCTCCGCCATGTCGCCCAGCTTCTCGCCCTCCCTGTCCCCGCTGGCCGCCCGCTCCCCCGTCGTGTCCCCCTTCGGCGTCTCCCAGGGGCCCTCTGCCTCCGTCATCAGCGCCGAGCACTCGCTGGAGCCCCTGGATGAGGCCGAGCTCAGGATCTAGCCCCGAGGGCCCGGGACTCGCCCGCCCCGGCTCTCTGCCGCCCCAGCGCTGCAGGGCAGGGACAGGGGGGCAGGGGCCGTCCCCACCGGCGCCGCGGCCCGGGCGCCGATCTCCGCAGGCTGCCGGCT